AGCAGCGAGCGAGCGAGGAGGCGGCGCGGGTGGGAGGAGCAGCCAGCAAACCTAGGAGTCCTTAGAGCGAGCGCTGGGGAGGCAGCGAGGCGGCGGGCGGGCGGGAGAGCGCTCCTTCCTCCCTCCGATATGCGTCCTCGCCCTCGGGCGCCGGCGACCCACCCTCTTCCAACCCCCGGCTTGAGAGCAGAGGCCCGAGATCCTTCTTCCAGCCCCGTGCGCCCTGGATCGCACGAGAGGCCGCCTCAAGAGCCCCGGAGTGGTGCGCGCTGGGGCCTGGGAGGAGGAGGAGAAGCAGGAGGACGGGCTTCCAGGGGCCCCTCCCGCGCCGGCGGCCTCCCACCTGCCCTCGGCCCCGCCCTTCCCCCCAGCCGTGCCCAATGGGTTCATTCATTCCTTCCCGTGCGCCCTACAAATATTTACCGAGTGCCCGCCGGGTGCCGGTGCCGGGATTGACGCCCTGGGATGGGGAGAGAGGAATGGGAGACGGCCCAGGCCGGCCCTGCCAGGACTCGCAGTTGGGACTCAGAAGACACCAGAGCAGACCGGTGGGATTCTGGCTGCGGAGGGAAAAACTGGGGGCGCGGGGCAAATGCGGCACGGGAGAAGGCGGGGATCCTTGCGTCTACCTCGTCCCCCTGTGCCCCCTAAACTGCCATTTGCTTAGCCAGGCTGACCCCTCTTCGTCCCCAGCCTGTCCCAACTCCTAGTCAGTCCCTCTGTCTGCCGTGCCTCCCACCTTGCCACCCCTTGAATGCCACTTTCTCCCCGGGACCTTCCCTGGCCAGCGGAGCTGAGGTTCCCCCCCGCCCCCGCCACATGCTTGCTTGAGTTTCTGTACTGTCTCTCACCATGCGGAACCGTACTGTATTGTGCGCACTGTATTGTACTAGAAACCCAACATCTTGGAGGCCCAGCCCACCCATCCTCTCTACGGCTCTTGCATCCATGGTGCCTGGGCCACTAGGGCTAACCAATGAATATTTGTTGATTGCATGAGTGAAAGCAGTGAGAGCCGGGAGTACTTGCCCACCCCCTCAGCCCTGGGGCCGTGTGTTTGTGCCTGAGAGGGGTCCCTAACCCACCACTCCCTGACCTTTCCCAAGACCCTCCCAGCCATGCCCAGAGCAGCAGGCAGCTGGTCCTTAATCCAGTTCGAGGCCCAGGGTGGGTGGCTGAGCCCTGGACCTCCACTTCTCACGGAGGACATGCACACCCCATGCCACAGAGGCCAGAGCAGCTCTGAGCACCCCTCTCCCCTGCACTGTGGACTCAATGGACCCCCACTCCTGGAGCCTCAGTGTCCTCATGGGTAAAACGGGAGCACAGTGGGCCTCACCCAGAGCATTTGCTGGCTGTGGGGCTGTGCTGCTGCCCTGTGCCCTCCTCCTGGGGCTGGGCTTCTGTGAAGTAGGGGTTAGGGGTGCACGGTGAGGACTGAATTTGGGGGAGGGCGTCTTCCTTTCCAACAACACAGCAGCCTGCAGGGCCACATGATGGAGAAAGAAAGCACAGGCCTGTGGCCAGGGGTCTGAAGGCCAGGCTGCAGGGTCTCTTCAATCCCCTGCCCAGCAAGAGGCCCTCCAGCTGGCCTGCACCCATCTATACCTCCATTCCAGTGGGTGCCAGGGTGTCAGGCAGGTGGCCACATGGATCCCACTGCAATTCTGACCACACACCCCCCGTTTTCATCCTGCACCCACACTGCCCGTCCTGGCACCAAGCACATGCTGAGCAGGAGGGCACAGCAGTGAGACCCCCAGTGTGGCGGCTTCCATGGAGGAGAGGTCACAGGATGGAGAGAGGGGGGACAGCTCCTGCCTGGACCTGGCAAAGGAGGTGCACAAGGAGGTCAAGGGGACGACTGTGCAGTGAGGAGGTGTGACCCAGGGACCATCAGTCCAGCCTGTCAAAGTGACAGGGGGGCTGGGGGGCAGGAAGAAGTGATGCCACTGATCCTGCCCCGGAATGCCCTGGTGCTGACTCGCCGAGGCCAAGCACCACAGTCCCTCTGCCACCTCCAAGGCCAGCTGAGGTGGAGATGGAGGAGGCCACCTCCTTCCATCCAGGGTGAAAATGCAGGAGGGGCGCTGCCCCATCTCTGGGGCACTGAAGGGCTCAAGCGACAATTTACATAGGAAACCACCACTGCTCCAGCAGTGGGAAGTCCGGGGAGCAGGACTCTGGGGTCCCCTCTTTGTGCATCTTGCCTGGGCCCACCTGGGCCTGGCACACAGCAGGTACTCCATAAATACCCGTAGAGGGGTCCTAAGGGTGGGCTGGGGCCACACACTGGGCAGGCACCAAAGGAGCCTCCTAGGCCCCTCAGCCCAGAACCCCTGCAGAAAAGCCATCTTTGCTTCTGGAGATAAAGTGACAACATGCTCTTCACATCCCAGACCTGAGGAGATAAGACTCTCTCTGAGCTCTCCTAGCCCCTATTTAGCCTTATCTCTGGGATCATGCTGGGGGAGGGGTGGCCTCTTTCTTTTCCCTGTTTCCTCCCCGGGGAGGAGTCCCCAAGACTCACCAGGCTCTGCAAACACTTGCTGAGTGAGTGAGTAAACACGCTGGCAGGGAATACCTGGGCTTGGGAGCTGAGCCCCTCCAACAAAGGCTTTGCGATGGTTTGGGCAAGGCCTTGGTGGCAGGTGGCAGCCTGGGCTGTGGGAACCTGCCTGCCTCTTGTCACACTAGCCTCTGCCACTTCTGGCTCTGCACCTGGACAAGGGACTTAACCTCTCTATTGCCCTGGTTCTCTCATCTGTCTGTAGCATGGGGGAATACAGAGAGAGCACCTAACTCCTGCAGTTAGGACTGTGTTAGGACTGAGGACTCCAACGTTAATTCAATGCCCATGAAAGGCTTTGCACGCAGCCAGGGGCACAGACCCAGGTTACCATCTGGACAAGAAGGACATGCGTTAACAGGAAAGCCTCCTGAGTTTAAAGACACCAACAGAACTTTCAGGATGGTCTGCTTTGGGGCAGAGCAAAGAAAAGCAATGCTACTGAGAGAGAAAGGGTGCAGTGAGGGGACCCCCACCCCAGGCCAGCCAGGGCCCAGGACCCCTGGGGGCTATCATTTTTCAGCAACCTCCCCCACCCACACAGCCCCAGGGCACCCAGCTTGCAGTTCCAGGACCGTAATGGGATCTGCCCCAGTCTACCACACACCTGGGGCCCCTTTGCAGGGATGAAGGAGCCCAGTCGGGTGAGGGGCGTTATCTTACTGGTGGCAGTGGGTGCCCCCACTCGCCTGGAGTTTCATGGCACACACCTCCCAGCACACTCCACAGGGGTGGTTTGGACCAACTCAGAGCGTGTCCCCAAGGCCACAAAAAGAAAGGTGGGGACCTCATCGTCATCCCCAGAACTTTCACTTCATCTACCCAAATGGAAGCTCAGCTTCCCTGCAGGCTTGCTGTGGGGAACCCAGCACAGCCAGGGGGCTTGGAGGAGGCACCTCTATGCACACCACCTGGCCAAGGCCAGATGATTGGGTCCTGGAAGCTCCAGCCAGGAATAGAGGGCCAGGAGTCTGCTCACACTGGCACCTGAAAATCCTGTGAAGGACGTTAGTTCAACACGCCTGTAATTCTCCTTCCTGCGCCAGAGCTGTGGCTTCTTTGCCCCCACCCCCGCCCGGGGTGTTTCTGCACACTTTTAAAAGCAGTGCTACAGGAGACTCAACATCTTCTACTGGTCCTAAGAATACGTAGTCATAGCTGCAGCTCCAAATGGAAAACACAGACACACACACACACACACACACACACACACACACACACGAGTTTAGAGACAGCTGACATCACAGTGGAATTCCAGAGCCTTGCAAACAGTTAGAGGAAGCTGCGGTTTTGTTTATTCCCATCGTGGCTGTTATTTCTTCTCTCAAAAAAAGCCTGTTTCGGTTTTGAGCATTAACTGTCTTTGGTTCAGCTTTAGAGGGAGCCCTTTCCACTCCGCCTTCCAAGAGCTGCCTCGGAGGTCCTGGCTCGGGGAAGCCAGCTTTTACTCCTGTGTGTGGCACCGGGCTCCCCTAGCTCCTGCACGTGTCCCCCCCACGGAGCGGCCTCTTCTGCACCTCCGCTCACTGAGAGACCAAGACTCGCTTGCCCAGAGACCCCCGATCATCCAGGACAAAGCCAGGACCCAAAGCCACATGTGTCTACATGGCCCAGGGCTCAATTGTGCTCAGGGACCCAGGAGCAGCCCTTCCTCTCTTGCTTTCCCACTTGGCTGTTAGATGCAGGGAGCCCAAGACGCCAGGCTTGTAACCTGCTCCCCAGGGCTGCTGATGCTTTGGGTGTGCGTCACGGAGCAGGGCTCTAAATTCCTCAGGTCACAATTAACCAATTATTGGAGGCTTCACATCAAAAATGTAATAATCTGTCAGCTATAATTTCAATTAACTCATCTCCGCAACTATTACAAGAAATAATACCAGAGATGAAATATGAAATATATCTCCCAACCTGTTAACTATGATACGCCGAGTTCTTGTTCTCTAAAAATCAAAGAAAGTCCTAGGAACGTAGGAGGTTAAGAGTAGGAAGATCTTTATTGATAGGGAAGCTCCTGAGGTGCAGGAGGGGACCTGAGTGGGTAGCCGGGGACCCTGCTTTACAGAGGGGTTTATAGGGTGACACCACATGGGTATAACATGGGCCACAGCCGTGAGCATCCAATCAGGTTACAAGTGCAGTCACTTCGGTGACGGTGGTCCAGTTCGGAAACAAGTCACGTAAAAAGCATGGGTGGAAAGAACAAAGATTCTCCTAGGAAGCGGTGGGTCCAGAGGTCTCTGGTCACCTGCTGGGGGGCTGACATCTATCTGGACTTCCTTAGGCCCAGTGTTTGTTCTCTAAGTATGCAGGTCTGGTCATTGTGTCTTTATCTTGAGGCCTGGTTTCCAGCCGATGTGTCTCCGGCACAGCTGTGGTGTGTGTCACCTTTGTCCTGACCCTCTCGAGGACCCAGCCCTGTCTGACTGCCTGTAATATTTCCACCTCGCTCATCTGTCTGTCATACAGCTGTGTTATACGTGCTCACCATTACACTCTCCAGTTTGCACATGAGAACGTGGGGGCTCAGACGCTTGAGGGAACCTGCCCAAAGCTGCAGTGATGTGAGAGAAGGGCAAACTGGCAGCCTTAACACAGGCTTTCTGCCTCGAGGGCCTGAGCCCTTCACTGGAGCTCACCCACAGAGCTTACCTTTCCCCCGATCCTACATGAGCACACACACAATGACCAGCAGCAGGGGACACTGGATTTCAGTGGAATCCTCTCCTGGATTCAAGAGGCGTGGGGACAAAGTGAACAGGTCTCATTCCCACAGGGAGGCCATCCAGGAGTTTGACTTCAAAGCTACCGGACAATTTCTGGGGGAGCTGGCAACCTGAGTGTGTGTGTGACAATATAGCTACCAGTCCGATTCTGCAAACCCAGCTTGTCTCTGGCCTTTCAGGCCAGGGAGGTGTGGAGTGTGGAGAAGGCACAGCTCTCATGCAGCCAAGGGACCTAGTCAAGCAGCTCCCTGCAGTTTGCCCCTCAAGGGCTACAGAGTGAGTGGCTAAAAATTGCCCACGGGCCAGTGATGAATCTGATAAACTCCTCTCCCTGCAGAAACATCAAAAACCAGAAATCTTTTTTTAAGACCAGGAATGATCATTGCTCCAGTTTATCAGTATCTCCTTCCTCCCAGTGACATCTGAACCTCTTATGTTTGGAGACTCCCCATCTTTAAAGCAACATCTAACCACACCACCACAGCCCCCAGACAAAAGCTGAACATTTTGGAAATGGACTGTCCCAGCCTGCCTTGCAGCTGGAGCTCTACCATGTGACTAAATCCCAGCCAATCAGAGGCATCCACTGTCAGGGTGAGCCAGACCATTCTGTAGCATGACTGAGGCCACCTTCCTAATGGAAGAGCCTAAGCCTGGTACTCTGGCTTCCTGGGGTTCCTAGAAGCCTCACAGTATCCCTTGGTGAACTTGTTTTCTGCACCAGTCAGCCCGAGATGGTTTCTGTTGCTTTCACCCAAGGGCCCTGCAGTGTACAGCATCAGGGAGCTGGCAAAGGCCATGGGAGCCCTGTCACTTAGTTTACTGACCTGAGCTGGGCGTGGTGACACACACTTGTAACCCCAGCACCCTTAGTGAGAGCAAGGCAGGTTATAGCTCATGGTGAAGACCCAGGGCTCAAACCCCTCTAACTCCACGGGGGCTCAACACAGAAAACAGAAGCTGCTTTCTCCACTTAGGCTGAGCCAAGCGCTGCTAGGGTAGCCCCACAGATGTCACCTTGGGAGCTGCCCACCTGCCTTTCCTACTGCTTCCAGTAAGTGTCCTTGACTCTTCTCTACCCACTGAACTCCCAAATTCAAGGGTGGGCACATGAGCTGGCCCTGCCAATCAGCAAGACTCAACATCAGAGCTCCTGCGGCCTGCTGGGAAAGAGGGTCCCTCCTCCACCTGGGCGTCTTTCCCCCCTTGAAGACAGTGGGGGGCACTGTGGGAGTGGGAAAGCAAGCAAAGGCAGCAGACTGATAACACCACAAGCCCCTGGAGCCCGCTGAACCTGAAGCCAGCCCCACCCAGGACTCTGCTGTTCAAGCCAATGTGTGCCGAGCTTTCCATCAGTTACAATAAAATTCTGTAGATCTGTGGTTCAGTGCCTTCATCTTGAAGACAGAGAAGCTGAGACCCAGAGAGTGTGTGCAGGCTGGGCCTCCGCCTGCTTCCCACTCCCGGTCGTAACCCTGCACAGAAACTCTCCATCTCTGTTCTCTTCCCTCACTACGGTCACTGCTTCCGGTTTTTTTAAAAATCGCATTTTTTAACCTCAAGTTTTATCTTTATGGCCTCCCTCTTGGCAAAATGTCTCTTTAAGCAGGAGTCAGCAGCCCTGACTCATGCAAAAAAGATAATTTCAGAGGATGAGCAGAAGCAAGTAGACCTCATACACTACAGGAAGCTTCATGGGAGTTGGCGTGGTTGATGACAGGCAGCTGGGCGGAAAGGTTTGCGGTTTCTCCACAATCTTTTTTAGGTTTGGTCTGGTCTGGTTTTTCTGGCAGTTGAGGGTGAGCCCACTGAACTGCAGTCTCAGAACTGTGCAGTTTGTTGATCTGCTCACCACGGTGACAAGATTCCGAGGCCGTGCCGTGTACACGGTGAGCACATGAATGAATTCGCCAGAGCACGTGGGGCTCGTCTGGAGCAATGCCTGACTCGAAATCAGGGCCCGTGTCATCCCCAAACTCTGCCCCCACACTGCGTGATGGCAGCTGTGCCCCCCAAGTCCCCACTCTGTGGGGGGGGCTCGTCTTAGGACCCCATGGCACTGGGTGACCAGGTGGCCAGAGGGCCTTGGCAGTTGGCTGCAGACTTGCAAGGACACTTACTTGGACACAAGCATGGCTACCTTCTCTTCCTCCCTCTCTGCTCACATCCGATAGCTGAGCCTCAGGGGTGCACTGCATGTGCCCACCCTGGCTCTCTGCACACCAGGCACACAGCACTTCTGGGCCAAAGGAGACAGTGTGCTCGCAGACGTTGCACCAACAGCTGTTGCTGCCTGTGTCACCTCGTTTAATCCACACAGTTCCTTCAAAAGGGATTGTTGCTATGCCCATTTTACAGATGAGGAAACTGAGGCTCACTGAGATCACAGTCTGCCTAGGGTTACATGAGCAGAAGCGAGAAGTCACATCTGAACTCAGTCACTCTGACAATTTCGGACAGTTCTTCACCTGCGGAGCGGGTATAACTGGTGCCACCTTCCTGGGGAGGTGCAGGATCAAATAAGAGCATTGCACAGGGCCTGCAGGGGCCGGGCGAGGATGTGGACGGGCAGCCGCTACAGGCAACCTTGCCCTCCCTCCCCAGCCAGAAACAAGCAGGTGAGAGGCCAGCACATGGACACCACCATTCCAAGCTGGCCAGAGCCCCCGTGACCCAGCCATGATGGACCAGACTCGCTCTCGGGAATCGCAAGTGGAAATCAGTGCAAATGCGGAGGGGGCGGCCAAGTCCCGAAGTAGAAAGTGGAGCAGCATGGCCGTGCAGGGGTGAGCGTGTTGGTACAAAGGAGCCCCGCACCGCTGTGTGCAGCAGGACCATACACGGAAGCCCGCTCTTGGAGCCCGTCCTTCAGAATGGTGACTTCCAGAGTGGTGCAGTCCGCACCCTGAGTGATGGGGCCCGGCAGCCAGGCTGTTGTCCACTCATGGATGATTCACGCGTATATTTATGTCCTTTGCGTGACAGTTTCTTTCAGGCCCTGGGGAAGCAGCAATGGAAGCACATCCAAGATCCCTTGTATATTAGTTGGAAGAAACAGATAAGACACAAAAATAAGTGACAAGAGCAACAGGAAAAAAAGAAGCAAGAGGCTGAGAGGTTGCGGAGGCGTTGCGTCCATGTGATAAGCAGGGAAGGGTCTGCCCGGCAGAGGCAATGGCACGTGCAAAGGCCCCGAGCTGAACCCCAAGAGCAATGGCTGCTTGATCCAGAATTGCCATCTAACTGTGGCTTTCCTGGACCCTGCTGGCTCCCTAGCCAGGGCCCAGGCACAGATGTGACACCACCACGAACCTTGGGGTGGCTCGAGTCCGTACACCCCTAAATCCCAGCCTGAGCCCTCCCCGAAACAGAATCCGCAGTGGGTGAGGCTGGGCCTCCTGCACTTCTCCCCCTCTGCTGCCCAGCCTGTCCCCCGCTGGCCCCAGTGGGCGCCCCCGAGCCCTCTGCAGCCACACAGCTGGGCAGCAGAGGGCTGCGAGCGCGGGGCTGCGGGGATCAGGCCTCTTCCCACGCTGCTCTGCACACGCCACGTGCAGGCTTTTCCTTCAGGGCTCCCAGGAAGTGCAGAAGCCCCCACCACCTGCGGTGCCGGCCACGGTCTGTGGGTCTCCGCCTCTCCGTGTCTCTGGCTCTATGGCCCTGATTTTGTTTTTATGGGGTAAAAATTCTTTGATTCCCAGATGCCATGTGGGAATTTGCTGGGGGTAGGATAGGAGCCAGCGAAACAAAAGGATGATTTACAGGGGTTCAAAAGCCTCCTTATAACCAGAAAATTTAATTTGCAGACATTTGGTTCTTTCATTTCCATTTGTGAAGGAGAGGGAAAGAAATCAATGGAGTGTGGCCACTCTGGGTCCCCTGGCTTGGAGCTTAGCTCAAGGCATCTGTGACTTCAGAAAGTCTTGCTGGCATTAAGCAATAAACAGGATGAGCAGATAAAACCACCCCATGTTTAAAAAGCAGGCCCGAGGCAGAATTTTTATAGATAAAATAACTGAATGTGACTCAGAGAATTCAAGCTGCAAAAAACTGAGCCCTGTGAAAGCACCCAACTCCTCCCAGGAACTAAGCCGACCTGGCCCAGGCAGGATCGGGGTCTGGATGGTTCTCTGCACCTCCAGACCCGCCAGGAGGCCCCCAGTTCCCACGAGTGGCACACTGCAAAAATCATTTCTGCCAGTCTGTTCATTGCAAGGTCTCTGCCATCAGAATGTTTGCACACGGGCGGGGAAGATGTGACGCACTCGGGAAGGGCAAACAGGTGTCTTCATGGGGCACCCCGTGCCTTTAATTAGTGGGGAGAAGATGGCACAGTGTTTCCAAGGGAGGCTTTGTTTTTGTTTTTGGTGCCGGGGGCTGAGCCCAGGACACTGACATGCAACTCCTCCAACGAACTGCACCCCAACCCCAAGCTGTTTTATTCAGTCAGGCGTCCAGCAAGTTCGAGAGCGTGAACCTTAGTTTAAATGGCTTAATCCATAGGCCGGAGCGGCTCCCTTACAGAGATGCCCCATCTGAGCAGTGCTGCCAGAGGCTTGCAGCTCTGCTTCTGTCTCTCCAGCTGCCCCTTTCAGTTTGACATATGTCTGAAAGCCGGCTTCGGTACACCCTACCTGGACGTGTTGTTGCAAGATGCATTCAGCAGATAGATTCCAGGCTCTACAACAAAGAATTCCAAGCGTACGGTCAAATGGCAATAGTAAAGCAGCTACACTCATTGAAAAGCCCCAGGAAATGCTCTCAGGGCAAGTCATTGCCAAAAAATATGGCATGAACAGAAAAGTGGTACCAGGATGACAGGAGAGTAAAAAGCACTGTCCTGAACACAGATAAGTCAGGCTTTGGGAACTGAAAGGCTCTGCACCCTACCAGGTGCCTCCCACTGGGTCTCTGAGGTAAGATGGACAGAGTGCCAAGTCATCTCAGGGGCTTCGAACACACTCATGCCTGTCCCAGAATTCACTCTGATCTGAATCCCATGAATGCGACATGATGCACATATATGAACCCTTAACAAGGTTCAGATATGGGAAAGGTGGGGCCACGAGCTGGCCTAGAGCTTCAAAGATCTCCTGGGGTTCTTCTATTATTTTCTTCCTCTCTTAGGACAAGGGAGGGAGGAGGATGGCACTAGGGTGATTTCCTCAGTCCCACTGTTCTAAGTACACTGGATGGACTTCCTCTGCCTGCCGGGGACGGGTTTCCCTGGCACCAGTGTGCCATGCCAACCAGAGAAACGGAGGACCAGGAGGGCCCATACAGGCCTCAGCCCACCATGAGACCAGCCGTGGTGCAGGGAGATGGGACATCAGGACTTCCATGCTGGGCCACTGCTTGCCCGAGTCAGTGTCAGGGTCAGGGCTCTGCTGAAACGAGGGAGGCTGGCACCAGGAAAAGCGGGGAAGGGGTTGGGCAGGCAGAAACGAGACTGTGGTTGATTGGGGCCCTCTGTGGTCAAGTGTCCAGCCGAGCTGGGGTTCTGTACACAGGAGACCCCCAGGAGCCAGTGCTTGTCCCTGGTCAGGGGCCCTTCCATCTCAGAATTCGGCCCGGCCTGGCTGCAGACAGATCCTTAGCACTGCAGTGGGGCCACTGTGTGTGAATCCAAGGACACAGTGCCCACTGCTGTCTTGCACTTCTGTGCCTAAGAAGCAACACTCGGTGCTCACTACATACCCGGTTGGCAGCGGGGTAACCGGAGCCCTGGACGCTTCCTGTCCCAGCCTAATGAGGCTGCCCAGATGTGGCTCCCGATCGTTTCTCCACCCCCACGTGACAACCTTGCTCAGCCCCTCAGTGCCTGGCACACAGTAGGCACAGGATGAGCAGCTGTCCACTTAGGGGACATGTGTCATTTTGCCATTAAGCTTTTGCTTGTGTGCCAGTTTGCTTTTCCCTGTCTTTGTTCCTACTTTTAATTTTAAACTCATTTCTTCTTCCTGAATTGACTTTTCTAGGAGTCCATTCTGTCCTCAAGGAATAAGTACTTGTCAAGCACTACTATATGCCTCGCACTTTCCAAGAGAGGGACTACAGAAAGGGACACCATAGACCAAGTTTCCTGACTTTTGGAACTTTCAGCCTCATGGAGCTGTCAGAAAGGGGGCCTGGTGACATGGAATAGGGGACAAGAGACAAGAGAAAGACAAGAACCACTAGAAAAAGCCCCTTGGAGGAGAGGTATCTGAGCACAGTAGGGGCAGCTGCTCATATCACCAGGGAGAATCATTCTAGGTCAAGAGAATAGCATGTACAAAGGTCCTGTGGCAGGAAATGCTCGTGTGTTTAAGGAATCCCAGGGGCCCTGAGACTGTAGCATTAGTACACACAGTTTGAGCTTTAAGAGCTGAGGTGAAAGGTTCAATCAGCAGTGAACAATGGGAGCCTCAAACATCACGTAGCAGACAGACGCACAGGCAGGTCATGTGACCATTCCATCTGCAAGGGAGCCTGGGAAAGGAAGTTCCATGTCAAGTTTAGCTGCTGTTGTGAGAAGCAGATTCTGCTGGCAAAAGAAAGTAGCTGGAAACTGGTTGCTGGGTGCAAAAGCAATGGTGATACCACCAGGTGAGAAAGTTGCACCCCAAGCAAACCAGTAGTGGATGACTTCCAGGTACCAGTGACCAGAGGGAAAGAAACATAGCCACAGATCTCACAAGTAAAAAATGCACTGTAGAAAAACATTAAAACAGCACCTTTCTTATTCTCTTACCCGCCTCTTAATGGCTCACTGTATTGAAGGGAAAAGCAGGCATTAAGATCAATTCCGTGTGAAACACATCACTTCACCACCCTGCTTATCTTTCAAAATGCCCAGGAGAGTGAAAGGTCCCCCAAGGACATGACCAACTCTGAATAACAATCACTTATTGGGCCCTTGCCATGTGCTCAGTGGTAGGCTCCATGTTTGAATTAGGAGGATTGTGTTTGGCCCCATGTGACAGAAACCTGCTTGTGACGCCTTGATCAAAGGCGTGATTGTTTATTCCAAAGAAGAATCTTATAGGGAGCAAGTCCAAGACTAACGCAGCATTTCAGAAGAGCCAGCAGGTACCTCCTCTGTTGAAGCTGCCTTGTTGGCTGATCTTAGCCTATGGTTTGCAAAGTGGCTGCTCCAGTTCCAGACATCACACAGCATTCTTCTCAACAGAATGAATGAAAGGAGGAGGAAGGACAAAAAGGGCCTGCCAGGTGGGCCTGTCCCACTCTTTTATGAAAAGAATACCTTTCCTTCCAGTATGACATAATCGTAGTTCCTCAGCCAGCGTGAGACCAATGGGCACACAGTTGCTAGGGAAGGTGACCAGTGAGTACTCTGAATGGCACAAGGTCAGTTCTGGTAGAAAGGAAAGAGGAGAGAGCAGGTCCTGGGTCAGCACTCGTTGCTCCCTCAACATCACAGGCTTTTTAACACATTTCAGCCTCCCAGTGCTGTTGTAGAGCCGGGCCTGTCACCTCATGAGCTCAGAGCCTCACAAACTGGCCTGAGGGCCAGATTCTCTTGCTTGTCTTAGTCTGATAAGTTTTACTGGAACCCAGTTGTGGCCATTTGATTTCCTATTACCTATGGCTGCATTCCCCCCACAGTGGAGTTGTGACAGAGACTGTTCGGTCCGCAGAGTCAAAAAAATTTTATGGTCTGACCTGCTACAGAAATTGTTTGCCCAACCTGCACTGAATCCTTTCTGCTCAAAGCGTGGTTGGCAGGCCAGGGGCTCCTGAGCCAGAACCTGCCACTCACCGTGCGACCTGGACAGTTGGCCAAACCATCCCACCCTCCTCTGTTCTCATCTGTGAAATGGGCAGAATTATTTCTCATTTTGCGCCTTTGCGTTGCCCAAAGGGTCACTGAGACAATCCTTGGGATGTGACACATGATTGTTTAAGAAGCGATGTCTAACTGCTAGGATGGGTCTGCAGCGCGGTGGCCTCCATCGGGTACAGGTTTGGGGTTTTTCTTCCACACCACATAGAAGCGCGTGGCACAGCCATTCCTCTGAGCACTAGGTGTAGCTGTCGGGGTCCGGCATTTGCGGCCCTCCTGGGCCTTTGCAGGCGCCTTCTACCTCAAGAATCGTGAACAAAACAGCCGGACGGGCTCCTTTGGCTCTTCTTGTTCCAGGACCCTGAAGGAAAGTGGTTCTGAGCTGTGTCAGCCAGGACAGCAAGACTGACTGGTGGCTCTGGGGACAGCCACGCAGGAAATCTGGACAAGCGATACAGAGGTCAAACAAAACGAGCTCCTGAACCCAGCCATCCCGCAGAATTTCATCTTTGCCAACACAGAAAAAATAAAATTAAAAACTAAGTTTTAAAATGTCAATAACTTATTTTAGGTGGTCTATTCCAAAGACCCGGGGGATTCCAGCCTCAGCGGACAGCCCAGAAAGCCAGCAGCAACACACAGGAGCTCCAGGAGGGGATGACTCCCTGTGTGTGGAAGGTTCTGGAAGTTTACCACAGATGGCCCTGCCCAGTCGATGCCTCTCAGCAGCAGCAAACTGACATCCCTCATGCTTCCAGGTCAGGCCTTTGAAATGAGCCCAAGTCCCTCCCTGTCACATGCCTGTGCCCAGCGTACTTCTACAGAGCCCAAGTGTGCCCGACCCTCGAAGTGGGCATGACACCCCCTCCGGAATTGGCCCGAGGAGGCCAGTACGCCCAGACAGTCACCTTGAGCGTGTGCGGGGAGAAGAGAGCTCTGGCTTCCGGGGGCTTCCGAAGGTTCCTAATAGAAAACATTTGCGCCAAATAAAAAGCCCTCTCCTGCGTCTCAATTTAGTTGTAAATTATCTGCCCCAAGGATCTGTCCAGACATCTCTGCTGAGGCTGGGAACTCCGAGGCCCTCTTGGATCCAGATTTGCTGCTTGGTCCAGATAGATTTTCAGCTGCTGCAACCAGACTGCAGGCAGGGGACAATAAGAACAGAACTTCTTTTGTTCTGACTAAACTGTTTTTAATGGTCCTTTCCAGGCCAGGCCTCAGTGGAGGCCTCAACAAGGCAGCTCATTGAGTTGCCCTGAAAGAGCCAAGTGGGGCAGAGCCAGGGAGCCCTCAGGAGGGGCCGGTGGCCCTTTGTCAGCCTTGGTGGTCCCGCCGCAAAGAAGAAAGGGGCTCTTTCATTTGTTGTCTGAGATGGAAAAAGGGAGGGCATCGTGAGCCAAGGACGGTCCCAGAGTTTCCATAATTAGTGCCTGTGAAGTGTTAGGGACCTGCGCACGTGTAAACACACAGGCACACAAACGCACAGCACACACTGTGACACGGTGTTATCCGGAGGGCCCAGTCTCCAGAAGCCGATGGAACAGATCCACCAAATGTCATGACATGGCGCGCCCTGGCTCGAGCATCCTGCCCCTTCACTTTATCTGGAGGCCTTGGAGGCTGTGGATTCGTGCGGAACCCAGGAGGAGGAGACGCACTGGGTCATCCCAGCCACTGGCTTCTCGGCACGGCCAGTTCTCCAGGGTCTCAAGGTTGCACCCAAAGGCTGCTGTCCTCATAAACGAAAGAGACAAAGCAAGCAAGAGCTCTGATCTGTGTTTTGCAGGAAGTTCCTTCCCATCTTAATTGCACCAGTAAGATTTTAAGTACACCGGGAAGAAAACCTTGGTTTCCTAAATTAGTGGCATCTGGATGAGTGGCTCTCAGCAGGGGG